GGAGCAGAAAGGTTGAGTCAGGGGAAGAATAGAAGAAAGGGTATGTGATAGGGTTTTAGTGGGGGTGGGAGGGGAGGACAGGAGGGAGAAGGGACCTGGGATTGTCATGTAAATCAATCTTGTTTCTAATTCAAATTTTAAAAATGATTAAAAAAAAAAAGAGTACTGGCTGCTCTTACAGAGGACCCAGGTTTGAATCCCAGCACCCATACAGAGGCTCACAACCAAGTTCTAGGGGATTTGATGTCTCTTCTTATCCTCGTGTGCTACTGCAAGCATGTGGTGCATACATACTCAGTGATACCGCATGTGCATATAGGGTAACAGTTCTAGTGGTCCTGGAACTCACTCTGTAGACCAAGTTGGCCTCAAAACTCACAGAGATATGCCTCTGCCTCTGCCTTCCAAGAGCTGGGATTAAAGGCATGCAGAAATATACTTTTTTTTTTTTTTAAGATTTATTTATCATGCATACACTGTTCTCCTTGGATGCCAGAAGAGGGCACCAGATCTCATTACAGATCGTTGTGAGCCACCATGTGGTTGCTGGGAATTGAACTCAGGTCCTCTGGAAGGGCAGACAGTGGTCTTAACCCCTGAGCCATCTCTCCAGCCTAGAAATATACTTTTTTTTTTTTTAAAGCAACTGTAATTAAAATATCCCTAGTCTGAGCACTTGCCACAGTTCTGTTTGGAACATGCCAACAGTGCTTCAGATAGCAAAGTCAGAAGCTGGGCACGGTGGTACACACCCTTGATCCCAGCACTTGGGAGGCAGAAGCAGGAGGACTTCTGAGTTCATGGCCAGACAGGGTTACAATAGTGAGACCCAAAATACAAAGACCTGTGGGCTGGAGATACGGTTAAGTGACTAAGAGCACTGGCTGGCTGGGGCTGGAAAAATGGTTCAGTGGTTAAGAAACACTAGCTGCTCTCCCAGAGGTCCTGAGTTCAGTTCCCAGCAACCACATGGCGGCTCACAACGATCTGTAATGAGATCTGGTGCAGGGATACATGCAGACAGAACAGAGTATACATAATAAATACATGAATCCTTAAAAAGGAAAGGGGGGGTGAAGAGATGGCTCAGAGGTTGGGAGCACCGACTGCTCTTCCGGAGATCCTGAGTTCAATTCCCAGCAACCACATGGTGGCTCACAACCATCCATTATGAGATCTGGTGCCCTCTTCTTATGTGCAGATATACACTGAAGCAGAATGTTGTATACAGAATAAATAAATAAAATCTTTAAAAAAAAAAAAAAGGAAAAGGAGGCACTCATTGGCTTCTCTTATAGAGGACCTAGGTTTGATTGCTAGCACCCACATGATGGCTCATAATGACCAGGACTGTCTGTGCATGGTGCATAGAGACATACAAGCAAAATACCCATGCATACAAAATAATAAAATTAAACAAAACAAAGAATTAAAAGTGGTTGGGTTTAAAGGAAATAAAATCTGACTGGTGCTGTTAACACTGGATACATCTTACTTCAAAAATTGAGAAATACAATCATACCAGGCTACTGCATAGTTCTGGTTCTTGAGGCTGATACATTGAAGACAGGTGTAACAGAAAACCTACATGAGGGTGTTAGATAAAGTTCTGTTTAAGCTCCTGAGATTTATTTCTAAAACCATCTACTTCTGAAGGTACTAGTGAAAACAAATTTCAGATTTATTTATGTGCATGAGCACTTTGCCTGCATGTGTATACATGAGTGCCTGGTACCCACAGAGGTCAGAAGAGGGCGTCAGGTCTCCTGGAATAGGAATTATGGATGGCTCAGCTGCCATGTGAGTGCTAGGAACCAAACCTGGGTCTTTTGCAAAGAACAAGTGCTCTTAGCTGCTGAGCCAACTCTAGCCCTAAGAAGTAAACTAAATAGATAACAAATACGGCTTAGAGGTTTTAAGCTTCAGGATTATCCCCTCACCCAGACTATGACATTGCTGTAAAAACTGACCACAAAGGCTGTAGTTGGACTCTGAGCTCATACATGAGGCTCAGAGCCCAGCATCAATTAGCATTCATCTGTTCTCTGTTCCTTCATGCAATACTCATTCACATAAGAGGGTGGGAGGGTTGTCCATAGGTGAAGAAAGTCTGGCATTCACCACCAGAGATGGTGAAATAAATGCCAGTCCCTAAGGAGGGCTCAGGAAAGAAGCCTGCCCTAAAGGCCGTAAATAAAATGTGCTCAACTCAAGAAGTCTGGACACCACTGAATCTTGGCACTAAGCAGTACATCTAAAGAAGGGGGCTGAATACTATTCTTTGCTGACAATGAGGAAATGTATAGGCCCTTCTCATACACAAACCATTCTTATATCCATTACCCAATTCAGTCCTCCCAGCAGCAGTATCAATAGCATTCCCTTTTTACAGATGGAAATATGGAGACCTAAGGGAGAAGACAACCAAGTGAAAAAGACTGAAACCTAGATCTTCTGACTCAGAAGCACTGTCCACCACCCTATCACAGATGGTCAGGGTAAAGGCAGCAAATGGCCATGGCTGCTGCCTCATTCTCAAGGTGGAAACAGGAGATGTGACTTAGCTAGTATGTCACAGAGAACAGATCCCTTATTTTTTTTTTTTCCCTCACTGTGTAGCCCTGGCTGGACAGGAACTCTCTTTGTAGATCAGTCTGGACTTGAAGAGACTCCTCTGCCTCCACCTCTCCAGTGCTGGGATTAAAAGTGTGCTCCAATACACCTGGCTCACTTAACAGTGAGCTAATCAGTAGCACGTTTATCAGTATTGCTCGTTACCTGAAATGTGTTTAGACTGGGTTGTGTAGCTAGAGAATCCCATCTGCTGCTTCAAGTTCAGCAACAACAAACCCAAATACCTGACTGGGAACCCACTCACCTTTCCACCCAAGTGAGAGCCAGGGAGGCTCAGCTGCTACTCTTGCTATTCAGGACTATCAGCTCTAAAAGGCTGGGCGATGCTGGCTGTACCTGGTTCTGCCCATGTGTGGTTGAAGCACCAACTAAACAGAAGTTTCACAAAAAGATTTATCTCCACAAACCTGTTAGGAAGTTCATCGAAATCCAGTTATCAGGGAGCTTTTAAGAAGCGGCCTCGTGCTGCTAGAGAAGCAGTCTACCACTGAGCTACATCCCGCACCTACAAATAAATGTTCAATGTTTCGGAGGAAATAACCATCTGCTGGGAAAGTGTGCATGTATGAGAGAGAGAGAGAGAGAGAGAGAGAGAGAGAGAGAGAGAGATCCAGGGCTTCATGCTGTTAACCATTCTACCACTAAGCTACAACCCACAAGTAAATGTTGAATAATGGTTCTTGAGTAAATGACCTAAGTGAATATTTTCTGGCTCTCCCTGTTAATCCTATGAGAAGCTAGGAAAGAAAAGTAGTTAAATTGCTTTCACAAAGCAACAGAGGATTCAGTGGTTACCATGGCCATGGACCACACTTCCTTGTTCCCAAGGAAACTGCAGCAGCAGATGATACAGAAGTACTGAGCTTGGAGTCTGTAAAGGTCTTTGTTTATGCACCAAACTTTCAAGTTGTCCCGTCTCAGGAACCAGGAGGGAAAAGGTGTTAACTTTTAGTGTTTTAGGGATTGAGATCCCTATGGGATCTGGTGGGAAATGGTGACTGCATCCATCTTCTGCATTAGGGTGAAGGCTCCGCTCTGCTCCTCAGGCTTGGAGGAGAGAAAAATTCCCAAACACGATGAATCAGGCCTCAATAAGCACAGACACCAGTGAGCTTCTCCCTCAAGGAACTTTCCAGAAGTAGCCTCATTGAATACTCTAAGAGATGAGCTTTTACTCTTTTAAAGTACTTTTCACCTAGAATGTAGCCAGCCTGCCCTGTTTATAGTGATCCCAGGGGCATGAGACAAGAGGATACATTTGATCTCTCTCTTCTAGTATCAGACTTTCAATCCTCATGCCTCAGCTACCCAAATGCTGAGATGACAGGCAATTACATTTAAAACAGCTTTTTGTTTTCTAATTTGCCATATTTTTATAGATTAGAAGTCCCTTTAATAATGATCTAATCATTTCTGCCTGAGTTCCTACAAGCCTATCCAAGTCTCTTGTATAAATCCTGGGACTGGCTAGAGCGATGCCTCAGTGGTTACTGAGTACTGGCTGCTCTTCCAGTGGACATGGGTTCGATTCCCAGAGGCCGCAAAGCAGCTAACAACTGTAACTCCAGTTCTAGGGGATCTAATGCTGTCTCCTGGTATTCCAGGCACTGCATGCATGCGGTGCACAGACTTACATGGAGGCAAAACACCAGGACACAAACATAATCTTAACAACAAAAAAAAAAAAAAATAGCAAGGCAGGGCCTGACACCTCTACCTGGAGTGCTTTCCCTCTGCTTATTACCACCACAATGCCTTCCCATAGCAAACCCTAATGCATACTTAACTCTTGTACAAACACAGCTACCACACGTCCTTGAGCAGAAGGCTCAGAGCAAACAACTACTCATACCAAAATGGGCCTTTGGCCCTAGCCACACAACAACAGTTGCCAGAGCTGTTTTCAATAACTTTCAAGTTCCTCCTACACTCTTGTCCACAAGTCTCCATGTTATTACTAAACGGGGTACCAAGGCTCAAATCTGTAATCTTTAACCTGCTAATCTAGCTCTCTACCACTGATCTACACCTCCAGGGCAATATCTAATTACTCTTCCAGACAATCTGTCCTGAAACCTAAACCTTAATACTTCTGTTTGTTTCATTTAGCCCAAACTGGCTTCAGATGTGCTAAAACCCAAGGCTGGCCTTGAACTCCTAATTCTCCTGCCTCCACCCACTGGGTTCTGATATTTCAGGTGTTTTCAGACACATCTGGTTAAACTTTAATGTGCCAGGTGTGGTGGCACATGCCTTGAGAAAGAGGGAGGGAAATTTCTGAGTTCAAAGCTAGCCTGGTCTGCAGAGGCAGTTCTAGCAGCCAGGGTTGCACAGAGACCCTCTATCAGAAATAATAACAATCAGAGCACATGATACAGCATACTTTTATTTATTTATTTTTGAGACAGGGTCTCACTATGCATCCCTCGACAGCCTGGAAAGCCACTATGTAGACAAGGCTGGCCTTGAACTAATGGAAATCTACCTTCTCCTGCCTCTGGAGTGCTAGGATTAAAGGCACATCACCACAGCCAGGACATTATTTTAGTTGAAAACAAAAATCAGCATTAGAGTAGTTTGTAGTGCATATTTGAAGAAACCATCCTCAATATAGCCATTCTTTCATTTTCTTTTTCAGGTGGTAACCCAGGCTGGCCTTCTACCTCAGCCTCTGAAGTATTGGGATTTTAAGTGTATTTCCCCAGGCTAGGCTCACTATGCAATCTCCGGCATCCTGTTATCACTGGATAATTTTGAGAGTGAATATTCCTTTTGTCTCTGGTGCCCAGGTAATCTGTCTAGAGATCATTCTAATTTCATGGCTCTGCTTGTACTATAATGTTCCTATCTAAAATATACACAGTAGTAAACATATTTTCTTTTTCTTAGACTGACTTTCACGTATATTCCCTGGCTGTCCTGGAACTCCCTCTGTAGACCAGGCTGGCCCAAACTCACAGAGATCTGCCTGCCTCTGCCTCCTGAATGATGGGATTAAACGCACATGCCACCACCATCTGGATTTTTCTTTTTTAACAGATCATCTGTACCACATCCAAAGCGCTCTTGTGGTCACATGCTATGTCAGAAATTCTGGTCACTCAAATTCCTTAACAATTCTGCTCAAATACTGGGGACTTTTTTCCTTATGTAGACTAGTGAGGTTGGGCTATTTCACCTGAAACACTTAAATCTACCTTCTAAATTAGAATTCCATCAGCATATCTGTGTATTCATTACAGTGGATTATACTAAACTATATGTCTATCTTTTAAGGATTAAAAGTAAAAGGGTTTTATTTCTTTAGACCTCATATGTCAGTGTTGTCCTTTTGTTTGTTTGGTTTTTGTTTTTTTGAGACAGGGTTTCTCTGTATAGCCCTGGCCAGGCTGTCCTGGAACTCACTCTGTAGACCAGACCAGGCTGGCTCAAACTCAGAGATCCCCCTGCCTCTGCCTTCTGCGTGCTGGGATTAAAGGTACGCACCACCACTGCCCAGCACATTGTCTTGCTTTTGAATGACACTCTGTAGTCCAGGTTAGCCTTCAACTTGCAATTCTGTTGCTTCGGCCTTCCTAGAGGTAAGATTACAGGCACATGTCACCATGCCTGGTTCCATAAGCCTCAGCTTTGCCATCCTGGCTCAGGTGCACTTCTGTAGAAAGAACAGTATTTCTGTCCTTGTTCTTTTAAGGTACAGTCTCTATTACCAGGCTGCTCCTGAGTTCCTGGACACAAACAATCCTCCTACCTTTCAAGCAGCTGAAGGTACAGGGGCTTATGGCTTCTCAATGCCTGGTGTGTGTGTGTGTATACACCTTTCATTGTTTAGATGCAAGACATCAATCCAAGGGTCTTATGCATACTAGGCAATCACTAACCACTGTATGACATACCAAGCCCACAAAACAAGATTATAGAAATCAAGTTATATCCAATGGGTATGGTGGCAGAGGCCTGTAATCCTAGCATGTGTGAAGCAGAGGCAGGAGGATTGATGCAAGTCTTGAGTCAGCTTGTTTTACATAGCAAATTCCAGGCCAGCCAGAGGTTTATATATAGAGAGGTTGTCTCAAAAATACTACTACTGATGAAAAAATAAGACAAAATAAATATCAAGACACACTGCTGTAGAACAAAAGGGCTCTAAACACTGGCTAGACCAGACCCAAGAAGCAATAAATGGATGGGGGTGGGGAAGGAGTGGGATAGGACACTGTACAGCTATAGAGAGCTTGATCATAAGCCACCAACAGTGGCCAGGCAGTGGTGGCGCACGCCTTTAATCCCAGCACTCGGGAGGCAGAGGCAGGCGGATCTCTGTGAGTTTGAGGCCAGCCTGGTCTCCAGAGCTAGTTCCAGGACAGCCAGGGCTACACAGAGAAACTTTGTCAGGAAAAAAGAAAACAAACAAACAAAAAAGACCCACTCACAGGGAAGAGCAGTGGGAGGAATGTTGTAAAAGGCGGAAAGAGAACAAGTCATGGCTTATGACTGTCAACATGGAGTATCTGAGAAAGAATGACCCACATAAGTGAAAGGTCCCAGGCTCCTGGGAGAACCAGCTCCTCCAACCTGATGCAGCAGGAGCAGAGACAGTGGCAGCCAACTGATGAAAGCTAAGTGCTACCTGTAAACTCAAGAGAACAAAAGCTTCTTGAGTTTGTAAACTTGTACTCATAAATACAGTCCTCAAAACAGAACTCGGTGCATTCTTCAGCGAGTCTTTCCATAGCGACATAGGCTATTCCTCCTTTGGAACAGCGCTATTAAACAGGAGTGTTCCACATGCCATTCTCCACAGCAATGGCACTGCGAGAGCGGGTTCTGAGGAGATAAGGAGCGTGCTGCAGACAGCTGTGCACCTCAGGATCGGAGGAGGAGCTTACTGAGGATTGCATCGTAGTAAGGGCAGAACACCATCTTGTTATAGTTGACCAGGCGCACAAATTTCACCGCAACTTCTTCCAGCTCTTTCTGAATGGGACCCAATCCCCCTGGCACTGTAGCCAATAGCTTCTGATGACCAGACGCAAGGTATGTCTCCAAGAAGGTAAAAATTCGGGACTCTATGGTGGAAAGAAAAGTGATCAGGGGTGTCTCCTTAAGGGTGACATTATACACGTCTGATTAGGTTTCAGTTAATTGAGTTATCACCTTCTGGGGGAGGTCTTTCCTTGTCACCCCTAGATCAGATCTGAAGAACTTTTGCATTGCAGCTAGGAAGAACACATCTGTGCACACAGGGAGTCTGCAGCAGTGCCATGCTCTGCTCTTAGAGGAGCAGGACACTGAGGCCCACACTGGCCATGACCACAGGTCATACACACACACACAAAGAAAAGTAAAGCAGGAACAAGTTCAAATCTGGGGCTGGAGAGATGGCTCAGCTCTAAGAGCACTGACCTCTGAACACACACACACACACACACACACACACACACACACACACACAAATCTAAGCTGGGTATGGCAGCACATGCCTTTAATACCAGCAAAGGGAGATGGATCTCTGTGAGTTAAAGTCCAGCCAGACCTATAGAGACCTTGTCTCAATAAACAAATAAAATCTTAGAAAAAATTGTTTGAAAAAGTAAAGAGGGTTGAATACTCCATGGTGGAGTGAATGACCCTGGGTTCAATTTCCATAACTGAAAAGATCAGAAGGAAAGAGAAGGAAGAGAAAAAGAGAAAGGAGGAATGGGGGAAGGATGGGGTCCTGTCCCACTAACTCGTGCTCTGTCTTTCATGACACAGCACGTGCTTCCTCCTTTGATGCTCGCAGTGGAAGACCACAGATGTCAACTAGTTGATACTCTCCAACCATTCTAGGGACATGAATGGAGTTTTCAAACTGCCCGCCTTGCCTTCTGAACTGGGATACACTCTTAAGTATGAACTGGTATCTTTGAACCCACAAACACAAACACACTGACAGCTGGGTCCTACATCTCTCCATTCCTAAAGGGATCTGGTTCTCCTGAGATTCCCAGAGCTGGAAGCCCCATCTGGAAGTGGAGGTCAGGTGTGGAATATTACTTTACTAGGCAAAGCTGTGTTACATTTATCTATGCTGCATTTGCTTAACAATGTAAATATGTGTTGCTTTGCCCTCCTAAGGCACCTGATTGGTCTAATAAAAAGCTGAATGAGTAGAGGGATGGGCAGGGCTGGCGGACAGAGAGAATAAGTAGGAGGAATCTAGGTTCAAGAGAATGGAGGAAGTGTAAGAGGAAGATACCTGGGGCCCGCCAGTCAGGCAGCTGACAGATATAAGGAAAGAAAGGTACAAAAAAAAAAAAACCCTGAGACAAAGGTAGTTGAAGAGAAACAGGTGAAATTAGTTAGAAGAGCTAGTAGGACAAGCATAAGATAAGGCCAAGCATTCATAATAAGTCTCCATGTCATGAGATGGTTGGTGGCCCAGAAGGAAGCCTGCTACGGAGGTCTCGTGTCACCCCCACTAGGGCTGTGTATGTAACTGGTGCTTCTATCAAGAAACACATAAGATGGTGATACGAGGGCAGTGTGGAGACTTCAGGCTGTTCACAGGCCTTCCCAGGCTGAGTACCAAGCTCTATGATTTGCACACGCCTCCTCCTCAGTGACCCACACATTAAAATGTGGCTAAAAAGAACTCTCTTGCCGGGCGTTGGTCCCAGCACTCAGGAAGCAGAGGCAGGCAGATCTCTGTGAGTTCGAGGCCAGCCTAGTCTCCAGAGTGAGTGCCAGGATAGGTGCCAAAGCTACTCAGAGAAACCCTGTCTCGAAAAACCAAAAAGAAAAAAAAAAAAAAAACTCTCTTAATTTTTTAAAAGTTCATATTATTCATTTTGTATGAAATATTACTTAGTGACAAGGATCTGAGTCAAGGCCTGTGACACTGAAGTCAGAACCTTTGAGATAATGATGGCTTCTGGTCCTTGCCTGTCCTTCTGATCAGCCTATCACACTGGTGATGAGTCCAATCCTCTCCTAACCCAGCAGCACTCAGAACCACTCATAATCCATCAAATCCTCTCAGATTTTGTTGCTATAGTTGTTGTTGTTGACTGTTTTGAGACAGGGTCTCACTTTGGGGCACTGGCGGACCTGTAACTTACTATATAGTGGTGCCCAATGTCTGGCATAGATCCACAGAAGACCTAATGTATGCTGTATGAGGGTGTCAGATCTTGGAGTTACAGACAGTGGTGAGCTGCCCTGTCGGTGCTGGGAACTGAATCTGAGTTCTCTGGAAGAACAGTCAGTGCTGTTAACCGTTGAGCCATCTCTCCAGCCCCTAAAAAAAGGCTCTAAAGACACAAAAACAGGGCAAAACAACGCAGCTTCCTAGTCTCACCCCAGCAGCAATGCAGAGACACATCTCCCACAGCTGCCTGGGAGATGGAGCCAGCTACCCACTGCCATGCGCTAAGCAGTGTGGGGGGTCCCTGCAGTCCCTCACATGAGCCGCAATACAGACAGGCTTTTCCCAGGCACTGCCCGTGGGCTTCACAGCTCCAGCAGCATGATGCATGGTGGGTTTGGGGGTTTTGCTCACGAAGACAGAAAAGGTTACAGATACACAGTAAAGATAGATTCAGCCAGGAAAAAAAAAAAAAAAACCTCTTCATGGGTTACAGTGTGTTTTAAAATATATATAGGCTTGGGAGAGAAAAGAAAAAGGGTAGAAAAAGTCCTTAAAAAATAAATAAAGTAATAAAAAAATATAATAACCCATGTAAAGATGGGAAATACACAGAGAGTCTAGATTCTGTATGTCACTGTGTTGTTTTGAATATTTTGGCTGCTAAGAGACAGTGGATTATGAAAATTGCTAGATTCAACCAACCCATATGTTTTAGAAGTATCTTGACTTCAAAATTTAGGTCAAAAGATGTTATTTTGGGGGAGAGGCTAAGCTTTTATTTCCACAGGAAATAAGAGGCTGTGGGTTCATTCCGGGTTAAAAAAATCTGGTATGATTGAGGAAGGCCCCCCTGAAATCCTAACTGCAGAAATAAGCCTAGAAGAACTACAAGACACATGATGTATATTTCACCTGCTCATACACATAACAAAAACTCATATTTGGCTGACTTATGTACAATGTACAGTATATACTTGTATTAATGCAGATATATATGTTGCCTTTAAAAGTGTAAGTATTTTCAGAGCAATGGGACCAGACACCAATGGGAAGGGATGGCTCAGGTCATCCAGCATTTAGAACAGCTTCAAGGCCGCTGTCTATGATATTCTAGCCTCACAGAATACTCTACCCAAGACCTAAAAATAATCCTAAATTTTCTCAAATTTCCTCAAAAGATGTCAATGCCCCCAAAACAACAGGAAGCAGTCTAGAGAACTACAGCCACATTCCCCAAAAAATTGGTTATGGATGTTTGTCATCCTTTAGGGGGTGGTTATTACAAGCTGTTATTGGTAATGTTCAGGGAAAAAGCTAAACAAAAGAGATTAGATGAAAGGATCTCTTTCTGAAAAGAAAAAGAGGGATATAGAAATGATAGGATAAGCCAGGCGGTGGGGGCGCGCACCTTTAATCCCAGCACTCAGGAGGCAGAGGCAGGTGGATCTCTGTGAGTTCGAAACCAGCCTGGGTTCAGGACAGCCTCCAAAGCCACAGAGAAACCCTGTCTCGAAAAACCAAAAAAAAAAAAAAAAAGATAGGATAAAAGGGTAGATTCTTGAACCAAAGAAACAACTACTAGTCTTAAATATTTTACATTGGTATGGATTTTTATATATTGATACAAATTTAAAGTTAATTTTGTTATACCTTGGGTATGTTTCTACTTGTTCGGGTTATTGTACTTATGCAGCTCATTTTAAAATGTAATATATAATTAAGAAATACAGGTTAGTAGTTAATCTATAATAATCAAACTTTTAGTAACATTAGGTAAGTTTTCAAGGTTAAAAAGATATATGTAGATAGACAGATGGTCTTCAAACACTTCAAAGACCTACAGAATATGGTATTTAATATGTTTAATAACTTAAGGCTTTTCATGACAGTAAAACATGTCTGCTCCTGACAATACCAATCTACTTCAGAGAAGATGATGGGCAAATCAAAGAAAGTCCATATGAGTTTGTTTTCTTTATGGCAAAATCTAGGCATACAGGCAAAGAAACTGCCCTTGCTTCAATTGCTGGCAGTATACTGTCTAAAGTACACCAGCAGGACACAAAAAAGGTGACTGCCAAACTTTGCCAAGACAAGGTAGGGCAGTCCTTAAAATTCCCTCTTTTCAGAAAAGTCTGTCAGATATACTAGGCCTGGGGGCCAAAGATAGATGCCCCAACATTACAGAAATTTGGGTAACTGTCCAGGCAGCCAGATGTTCCTGTTGTTAGGTAACATTACACCCTTCTGGGGTCTTTGATAGAGTTAAAGACTATAAACAGCTAAACATATAGTTTTCCTTAGTTATGATAGAAAGCAAAGTAGGTATAAAACTTTAGACTCACCAAGATAAAATAAATAATAGAGTATTTTCTCTAATTTTGCCAAATACAAATAGACTTGATACTGTAACTGTAATTCTCACTTGATAACTGTTTTTGTTGTATATAATTTTACTATGTTAAAGTTAAAAACCTTCCTTTTTAAATAGACAAAATACTGTGGAATAATCCTTCTGTATACTGTGTGACTATATGTTGCTATGATTGGTTTAATAAACAGTCTGACTCGCCAATAGCTGAACAGGATAAAGTTAGATGGGAAAGCCAAACTGAGAATGACGGGATGAGGAAGGGCAGAGTCAGAGGAGTCACCAGCCAGTTGGAGAACAAGTCAGACACACAAAATGGGATAGAGGTAAAAGTCACAAGCCTCAGGGCAGCACATAGATGAATAGAAATGGATTAAGTTGTAAGAGCTAGTTAGTAACAAGCCTAAGCTATTGGCCAAGCATTTATAATTTATATTAAGTCTCTGAGTCAGTTATTTGGGATCAGGTGGTCAGGACAGGAAAACTCTGCCTACACTGTTGAGCAGGCTGACCTTGAACTCACAAAGCCCCTCCTGCCTCTATCTCCTGAGTGGGGAGGAGTCTAGCCCTTCCAGTTTTCTTCTGAGGGCCCCTCTTTCCTGTTTTGTTTTGGTTTGGGGTTTTTTTTTGGGGGGAGGTGGGTAACACAAGCTAAGGTGTTCTTGGAAGAGGAACCTCAATTGGGAAAATGCCTCCATCACATTGCCTGCAGGCAGGTCTGTGGGGCATTTGCTTCTCTCTCTCTAGTCTCAGAGATAGCTTGTCTCTGCTTCCTAGGTGCTAGGATTAAAGGTGCACCACCACCCCTGGCCATTTTCTTGATTAATGATTGATGTGGGATACCCCAGCAAAGTGTGAGTGGTGCCACCCTGAGACACAGTCTTGGGCTATATAAGAAAGCAGGCTGGCCGGGCGATGGTGGCGCACGCCTTTAATCCCAGCACTGGGGAGGCAGAGGCAAGAGGATCTCTGTGAGTTCCAGACCAGCCTGGTCTACAAGAACTAGTTCCAAGATAGTCTCCAAAGCCACAGAGAAACCCTGTCTCGAAAAAAAAAAAACAACAACAACAACAACAAAAAAATCCCAACAAAAAAAAAAAAAAAAAAAGAAAGCAGGCTGAGTAAGCATGGAGAGCAGGCCAATAAGCAACATTCCTCCATGGCTTTTGCTTCAGTGCCTGCCTCCAAGTCCCTGCCTGTCCTGACCTCCCTCAGGGATGGAGTGTGATCTGACAGCTCTAAAATGAACTAAATCCCCTTCTCTCCAAGTTGTTTTTGGTAATGGTGTTTCATCACAGCAACAGAAAGTAACTAAGACACCCTCTGAGAGACTGTCCCCCAAACGTACCCACAATCCTGCGAATGGGGTCGTCAGGACTGGCCAGGGCCTGAATCTGGCCCTTGAGCACAGTCTCCTTGTTGATAGAGAATGGAGAGGATCCACACAGGGAGAGGCAGCTGCTCACCTCCAGGCACACTTTCTCCCCAATGGAAGTCAGAGCATCCTCCAGATGGAAGGAACTAGAACAGAGAAGGGAAAGGGCAGCTAGGAGAACAAAGGCCTCATGAATACAAAGTGCCATCACTTGCCTTCTCCTGGCAAGAGTGACAGCACAGACTTTTGTAGGGATTTGTGGCTTCCCCCACTTCCCTCACCGCCTAGGCTGTGCATCTCTGTCTAATCCCACCAAGGTGGTTTTGTGTTTGTTTGTTGACAGGGTCTCATGTACCTCAGGCTGGTCTAGAACTTCCTATACAGCTGAATATAGTAAAAATGCTCCTGCCTCTACTTCCCAAGTTCTGGGATTAAGGCTGTGCAATACCACACCAGGTTTTACAGCACTGGGGATGAGGGCTCCATGCATGTTAGGCACACACATGTTAGGCGTGCACTCACCAACAGTGCTATATCCTCAGGCCTCAGAGCACAAAGTCTCCCTTATGCCTATGTGACAAAGTAAGTTTGGGACTGACTTCAAACACCTTAGAGGAACACACAGAAACCAGAAATTTGGTAGCTTTGGGACAAGAGCGGTGTTAAAGCCCTTCTCATTGAGTATTCCTTTGTATTGGGTTTTTGTTGTAGTTGTTTCGTTTGTTTTTTTACCATGCTGGAGATCAAGCCCAAAACCTCATTCATGATAAGCACTTTGCCTACTGTGGTATATCCCCGACCCTCCTCAGCTGCTCTGTTTTGTTTTGTTTTGTTGTTGTTTTGTTTGTTTGTTTGTTTGTTTGAGACAGGATCTCAGGTAGCCAAGGCTAGCCATGCAGTCCTTGTCCTCCTGTTTTACCTTTCAGATGCTGGGATCACAGGTGTCCACACCATGACTAGCTTACATTAGATATTTTTACAAGAAACAATCCACAGGGGAAAATAAGTGCCCTTGATCCCTTGGTAATAGCTGTGAGACAGGCTCCTGCTAGTAAGGCCCCATGAGAATGTTTTCTTTTCAGCTGTGTCACTCACAGCTACTGGTAGTGACTATTCACTCGGTGTAACTGCAAAGCATGAGTCTCAGGGTCTGGAGCCTCTGTACTACAGAGCTTCTGGGAAGTGAGGGAGCAAGGCCCAGGACTCACTGCTGCTGCTCTGTACAGCCCGAGCAGCCAGGGCTCCCAAGGAAGTCTGCACTGGCAAGAAATGGAGCGGACAGCCCAAGGCTGGACCTGGGCACTAGCATCAGGATAGGCCTGGGATCAGCAGTGTCCTTGGCTGAGTCAACTGCTTGTCACAATGTGTGACTATGCCCCAAAGGCACTGGTCACAGACACACATTGTACAGACTCAGCAGTACAATCCTTCCTTTTGTAAGGATGATGTGGTGGTCTGAATAAGAATGGCCTTCATTGCCAGGCAGTGGGGTTGCACACCTTTAATCCCAGCACTCAGGAGGCAGAGGCAGGTGGACCTCTGTGAGTTTGAGGCTCGCTTGGTCTATAGACAGAGTTCCAGGACAACCTGGGGTATTACACAGAGAAACCTTGTCTCAAAAACCCCCCAAAAAAAACAAAAAACTAAAACCAACTAACCAAACAACAACAACAAAGAATGGCCTCCATAGACTCTAATTTGAATGCTTAGGGAGTAGATTAGGATACATGGTCATGTTGAAGGAGGTGTGGCCTTGTTGGAGGAATTGTCACTGGTGATGGGCTTTGACGTTTCAAATGCTCAAGCCAGGTCCTCTGGCTCCCTCTATTCTTGCTGCCTGTATAGAACTCTTGGCCCTTTCTCCAGCACCATGTTTGCTTACATGCTGCCATGCTTATCTCCACCCCCATTATGACAAAAAACTGAATCTCTGAACTGTAAACCAGTGCCAATTAAATGTTTTCCTTTATAAGAGCTGCCGTGGTCATGTGTCTCTTCACAGAACCCTGAACCCTGACTTAGCCAGATGAGGTCAGGGTTGAGGTTCCCTCTGAGAGTCTCTGCTTGGGGCGTGGTCAGACCCAGGGCTCACTGGAACTATTCAAACACCTCCCCTTCCGTGTGCTGTGAATCATGGGAGTCCTATACTGGTTGTGTTGAGGAAGCACCTACTAGAGACTCCGCAGTGTGAAGTTTGATGCATGATAAGACAGCACACTCAAGGCAGGCACGGATATCTACAAGGTATATGCAAAGGGCAGAGAGGCAATGTCATGGGCCGGCCCCTGAGCAGTGAAGTTCATTTCTTCTGTGACCTTTCTCTCCCAAGAGCCACAGCTGGAGCAACTGGCTATCCTGGGGGCTGAGGCATAGGTTACACTGTTTTCTTTAAGGTTATGGTTTTTACTGCTAATTAGTAGTGAAAACAATTCAGAGGGTGGAAGGCAGTGGGGCGTTTTGTTTGTTGGTTGGTAAGTAAGACTAGGTTGGAAAAAAAGGTTAAACATAGGGTAAGGTCCACCTCCAGAAGTGTCTGCTTCAGTTCCATGCATGTTAGAGTGTACTAGGCACGGTAGAAACCAAATTGCTCATTGTGGGCCTTGAGCACAGACATTTAAAAACCACAGTCCTAGAGCCTTGTTAAGTGTACAGTTCCCTGTAACTTGACTAAACTGCAGGTAGGCAAAGTCTTTTCTGAGCTTCTAAAGGCCTTACACTGGAAACTCCCATGTACACTACAGTTCCATCCCCTGTAGGGCCCCAGACACTTACGGCAGATGCATGTCCATGAGCAGAATCTTCACAGTCATCTTGAGTTTCTCAGCAAAGTCAGCCCGGCCAGAAATTCCAGGTGTGGCGCTGCTGAGTGTGACAAGTAGCACAGCCCCCAGGATGGCTAGCTGCTCCAGCTGCAGCTGGAGCTCTTGGAAACGAGACTGGTCCATCAAAACGGTCTGCAATGAACACACACGTCACCGCCGAGCAGAGACTCAAACTGGCCAGCAGAGGGCAGTGATGCCACACCTCTACCCGCTCTGTGGCGCCCTTTCAGATTTCCGGGATTCCTTTCAGATCTGGCAGAGCACTAAGCATCATCAGCTGAGGCAGGCCTGGAGATAAATCCAGACTTGACTCCTTCACAGAAGTGAGACCTCAGGCAAGTCTCCTTTACTCTGCGAGGCTATGCAAAAAGGGGTTCTCTTTGTACAGCTGCTGGAAAGATGAAGAAGGCTGAGCAGCAGGGGAGTGGCTGGGAGCCACAATCTCACAGACCATACAGCGAGCGGTAGGACGGAAAGGGTAAGAAGATGGAGCTAGAGTGGCCAATGCTTTCCCATGTATCCAGGACTGATGTTCCCAGATTTAAAAGGGAAGCATCCAAGTGCTGTGACCCCATCTTTGTCCCCACAAACCAGGAAGTCACCCGTGCTGAGTCACCAGAGCTGATAGAGGGGAGGGGCTCCTTAAAGCAGAGCTTACAATTATTCATCTTAGTACACACAGCACAAAGGAGACTCAAGCACTGAGCAAGCTGGGCACGGTTGCTCAGTCCATAAACTCCATCCCTCCACCCACAAACACGCTCAGAAGGGTGAGTCAGGAGAATTGCTATATGTCTCAGAGTGAAACCCTGTCTCAGAATAACAAACAACAACAACAACCTCAGGTAAGGAGAGTAAAAACAATAAAAAATGACAAACTATGCAGAACTGATGACCACACAAAGCCATCTGAAGGTGGACTGTTTCTCATGTTATAAAACCAGTCTTTCCCTGCCAGAAACTCGAGTGTTTTAGAACCCAGGTCTCACTCTTCCAGCATATACCAGTGTTACAGGACCCAGGTCTCACTCTTCCAGCATATACCAATGTTATAGGACCCAGGTCCCACCTACGGGAGACTGCAGAGGGTTGAGGGAAGAGCAGCAGGATGGTTAAGTATATGTTGATTTAGTAAAGAGGTTTTTGATTGTTTTCTTTAGGGGGACTGGGTGGTTTGGAGACCACATAGCTCTAACAGTCCAGGAGCTTTCTATGTAGACCAGGCTAGCCCTGGACTCACAGAGATCCACCTACCTCTGTCTCCAGAGCTCTGGGATTAAAAGCATGCACCACCCATGCCTGGCTCAGATCTGCATTTTTTAAAAGGATTTTATTTATCTATTATGTATATAACATTCTGCTTCCATGTATATCTGCACACCAGAAGAGGACACCAGATCTCATTGTAGATGGTTGTGAGCCACCATGTGGTTGCTGGGAATTGAACTCAGGACCTCTGGAAGAGCAGTTGGTGCTCTTAACCTCTGAGCCATCTCTCCAGCCCCAGATCTGCATTTTTACAGGTTAATCAAACAAGCTTTAGGAACCTGCTTTGCTGTAAGAAGCTAATCAAGACACTAGCAATGTAGGGTCAAACCAGATGAGGTGGACTATGCATGTGATCCTAGCACTGGAGAGGCTGAGGCAGGAGGATCAACAAGAGCTTGAGGCTAGCCTAGGCTGTAATGTTAAAAATAAAACAAAAACAAAACAAATGGAGTGAGAGCCCAAACTCTCTATGAGATACAACTATCTCTAAAGACTACTAGTCTTCATTCATGAACAGCTTTGCTATTTTCCAGTGGCCTCTTTCCATTTCACTGCTAATGTGACCGTGATATTACTTGACTTTGGCAGGACCTGACTTCAGGATGTGCCGTCCAGTGAAAACCACCCAAAGCTTTCATGCTGCTCCCAACAAGTCAGCACCACCCTTAGGTTCCTCTATGTACCAGCAGGGCACTCAGAGGCAAGAATCGAAGAAGCTTACAGGCTTTGAAAGGAAGAATAAGGAACATAAAAGAGATTTACAGAAGCTGCAGGAGCTAATGCTAGAAATAGGAAGAGGCACCCTCAAAGGAGACTAAGGAAACCACATACCAGATTAGTTACTGCCAGGAAAATGGGGATCCCCCACTAGTTATCCCCTTGATTGACTATTGCAGCTAGAAGAATTTGCAAAAAGCACAGGAAAAACAAAATACTGCTCACTGTGGATGGGGCAGAAGTTTTTGTAGGTCGAGCTGTGAAGCAGTACCAGTTTTGTAGTTTTTGTTTGTTTTATCAAGACAAATAAAAACAGTATAAAAAGTCCAGCAGCACAGACAGGCAGAACTAAACACTGCTGGTGGGGCCAGGAGGGCAGCTGAGCAGTTTTTCAAAGTGGTGTGCCTGGAGTCTACCCAGTAATTGCAACCCTGCATACAGCCTAGAGGGCTGACACCATATACTCACACAGGACACAGCACAGATATTCATGGAAGCAGAATGCGCAATAGTCTAAGTGGAAACAGTCACAGCACTGGCTGAGAAGGCAAGGAAATGCAGTGTGCACACACAGCTGGATACTGACATGGCCGCATAAATGAGCCTTGAAGACAACATGAAGGCAAGCCAGGCACAAAAAGATAGATGTGGCATGATTCCATGTTAAGCAACTGGACAGGCTGGGCCTGTTATCATAGCACTTGGAAGGTTGAAATTAGGAGTTCAAGGCCAATCTGGGCTACGTGAAACCCTGTCAGAAAAAGTCAAAACAAATAAATAAGATAAAAAAAAAAAGGTCTTACTGGGTGTTGGTGGCACACACCTTTAACCCCAGCACTTGGGAGGCAGAGGCAGGCAGATCTCTTGTGAGATCCAGGCCAGCCTAGTCTCCAGAGCAAGTGCCAGAATAGGCTCCAAAGCTACACAGAGAAACCCTGTCTTGAAAAACAAACAAAAAAAAAGTCTCAGAGTGATCAAATATATAGATTTGTAGTTATATGGTGTAAGCTAAGGAGGAATTATGTCCATGTTCCTTGTAGTATCACTCACAATAACCAAAATATGGAACCAACCTAGATGACCATCAACAAAGGAGGGGATAAAGAAAATGTGTTCCCGGGGGTGGGCCTAGACCCTATCCCAAAGGATATGATAGACTCTGATGACCCCCCCCCATGGAAGGCCTCACCATCCAGGGGGGAGCAGAAGGGATGGGTGATAGATAGGGTTTTAGTTGGGGCGGGGGTGGTAGGGGAGGACTCGAGGGAGAGGGAACTGGGATTGTCATGTAAAACAATCTTGTTTCTAATTCAAATAAAAAATTCTGCAAAAAAAAATGTGTTCTGTATACACAGGGACATTTCATTCAGCCATCAAGAATAAAATTAGCCTACCACATAGGTCAAACCTGTAATCCCAGCATTCAGGAAGCATCAGCAGTTAGATCATTGTGAGTCCAAAGCTTTTCTCTCATAGGCACAATCTACATTGAGGTGTGTGTGTGTGTGTGTGTGTGTGTGTGTGTGTGTGTGTGAATGACATAAAAGCCAAAGGGAGACTGTTGAGGAAGGAAGGGGCTTAAAAGGAAAGAAAAAGCTGGGCATGGTACTCACATCTTTGATCTCAGCACTAGGAGGCAGAGACAGGCAGATCTGTGAGAGCTCTAGGCCAGCCTGTTTACAGCACTAGCTCCAGGACAGCTGCAGGTACACAGAGAGAGACCCTGCCTCAAAACGAGGAGTGGGGAGGGGAACAAGAGAGAATAATGGAGGGAGGGGAAACAAGACAGTACTGCATGTCTTCTATATGTAGGTTGTACACACATACACAGAAGGGGGATTACTTGGAGAGAGAAAGGGGACAAGCAAAAGACAGAGAAAGAGAAGGGATGGTAATAGGGATGAATATGAGCAAAGTGCAGTAATACATATGAAAATGTCACAATGAAACCCATTATTTTGTACACTGAAACAGTCATAAAGAAGTAATTATAATTTCAAATGAAAAGAAGGCATTTGGGTCTGATTTGTATCAGAATACTAGGATTCTTTGACAAAAGCATCATGAGACAAAATCCAAATGGTTAAATGCCAGCAGAACCTACCTCTGGGAAGGGTCTCCGGAAGTGGTCCCACTTGAGAAGCCTCAAGTAGGCATAATTCTGGACAGAAACAGGGGTCAGCACTGGAGCATCCCCAGAGCCGGCAGCCCCTCCCCCAGCCGGCAGGGTATGTTTGTACTTCTGAGTTAAAAGGTCATTTGAGGCCTCCTCCAGCCACTGGGTGACAAAGTCCAGGGAGTCTGTGGAAACAGGGCTACAGTCATCACCCTGACACTTGCAGGGACACTTCTTGGAATTACCTTAAGGAAGAATGTTCCTACAGTGAAACTCAGGATAGAGAATGAACTTTGGAATCCACAGAACTCAATCCAGATCACAGTATTGCTCACCACTAGCTTCGTGAACTCAGACAAGTCTATCTGAACAGAAGGTGGTGGTGCACACCTTTAATCCCAGCACTCAGGAGGCAGAGCCAGGTGATCTCTGTGAGTTTGAGGCCAGCCTGGTCTACAAAGAGAGTGCCAGGACAGCCAGGGCTGTTACACAGAGAAACCTTGTCTTGACAAAGACAAAGACAAAGGCTGGAGAGATGGCTCAGCAGTTAAGAGCACTGGCTACTGCTCTTCCAGAAGTTCTGAGTTCAATTCCCAGCAACCACATAGAGGCTCACAACCATCTGTAATGAGATCTGGTGCCCTCTTCTGGCCTGCAGGGGTACATGCAAACAGAACACTGTATATATAATAAATAAATAAACAACAAAGCTTCACAGCTGACAGAGCTCACTAGCTAGATCTTACCCCTTTCTTCTTATTCACCTCTCTAGAAGGCCCAGTGACTACATTCTGGACAAGACACCAGTTGGTCAGTCAGGATTACACACACACAGGCTTGTTGCTTGTTGTGTCTTGGTGTGTAACTCACTGCATGGTGAGCACTGTCAATGGGGCCCTCGGTGGCAGTCTGTGGTCCTTAGGCTCCCACTGCTTTCCTAAGCTGAGTAACATAGCAGGTCCTCCTCATTGTGAGTAAGAAGTGCAGCCCTGGTGTTGCAGCCCTGGTGTTGCAGCCTTGGTAGGGACCTCCTTCAAACCACACAGGCAGCTTAGCTGTAAGGAGTTACAGCTGCTGTCAACTCTTCCCAGGTGCACGGTGCACCCCTGCACAGAGTTCTCCATTTGGTCCTGACCAGGTAGGCTCCCTCCTATTCAGCAATGAGTCTTTCACTGCAGCTGAGCTTCTGGTGCAGGAGACTGTTTCTCCAGGTGCCTCCTAGTGGGTACAATGGCACCAGATAGACTGAATGGTATGTCAGCCAATCTTCTTCCACTACTTCTACTCTCCTCTCTTTCCTACCTGAGGCTGCAGGAATTAACTTTGGGGCCACTGAACTAAACCACCTGGTCAGGCAACAAGAGCTACTCAGGGAGGGCCATTTTCACTTCCGCATCAGCAAAGCTTGCTACATGGAATTCATCACACACTGCACCCGAAAGCACCCGACAAACACAACCAGTCTAAACTCTTCAGTCAGCTGTTTCCCTGCCGTCACCCGAGGCTTGCAAAAAATGACATTTTCTCCCAATCAAAGGCAGGAAGACAGCCATAGTTTAAGTCCAGCTGGATTTCACACAGAGCACCAGGCTGGGCTGCAGAACAAGACCTGGTCTCAAAAACAAAAGCAAAGTCGGGTGTGGTGGTGCATGTCTTGAATCCCGGTACTAGAAAGGCAGTGTTGCAGGCTAGCCAGGGCTACATATATTTTGAGACCCTGTCTCAAAAACAAACAAAAAACCAAAAACAAACAAACAAACAAACAAACAAACAAAAAACAACAACTAAGAGTAAAAACTTGCATTTACTGGTTGTGAAAACAGATTTATTCATAGAAACAAGTGAAGTTCCCTGCTGCTTCCATAAGCCCGAGAAAAGTTAATTGAAAGAGATCTGTCGTGATTTTAAGACTAAGACCAGAAATATAATTTAACTGAAACTGGTATTTTCCTTGGGGGAAAATATTTAATCTAGTAATCTTCATTCTTTTCATTTTTATTCTCATGTGCTACCCACACAGCTTTTGCTTGTCAGTTGAGTTTATTATTATTATTTTGGTTTTGATGCTTAACAGCATCCCATGCTTTTCCTTCTTCAAGTTACACTACCTACCCTCGTATATCCTAGTCTTGAATTAGAAACAGTGGTTGGCTTTTGGGTTTTTTGTTTGTTTTCTCTGTGTAGCCCTGGCTGTCCTAGAACTCCCACTGTAGACCAGGCTGACCTCGAACTCTGAGATCCACCTGCCTTTGCCTCCCAAGTGCTGGGATTAAGGGCATGCACACCACCTGGCTCAGTGGTTAGTTTTTATGTAATAACAAGCTACAGCAGCTAAGATGCAACATCAACAATGAAAAGGTGCCACAGCACATTAAACTTACTCGGCTGCTTCTCCAACACCTCTTGAAACTTCTTCCTCTCATATTCAACTGACTGCTGCATGAGGTGTGGCCTGATGCTGCTGATAGCAAAGTTGGCCATGTCTACTTTCATTAGGTCCAACACAGAAAAGATTGCCCTGAAAAAAAAGAGAAAGGACTTAGAAGCAGGCAGTAGTGGCATAAGCATAGGTTAAAGGAAGAGATTATGGTTTCATCTTAGAAAGGGCAGCAAAAGAAATCTGTAAAATCACGAGAAAATGAATTAAGAAAATGAATTTGGGGGACTGGGAGATGGCTCAATGGTTGAGAGTACTTCCTGCTCTTTCAGAGGACCTGTACTGGTTCATTTTATGTCACCTGGACACAAGCGGGAGTCATCAGAGAAGAGGGAGCCTCAGTTGAGAAAATGCCTTCATTAAGATGTATAGACAGATTTTTCTTTGGGCTGCCAGCTCACAAAAAAATGACATGGAGACTTGTTAATTTGAAAGTTCAGCCTTAGCTTATGCTTGGTTTGGGGGGGGTTGTTTGTTTGTTTGTTGTTTTGTTTTTTCAAGACAGGGTATCTCTGTAGCTTTTGGAGCCTGTCCTGGAGTTTGTCCTGTAAACCAGGCTGGTTTCGAACTCACATAGGTCCACCTGCCTCTGCCTCCTAAGTGCTGGGATTAAAGGCATATGCCACCACCGCCCGACCAGTATATGCTTGTTTCTAACTAGCTCTTATAACTTAAATTACCAACCTACCCTTTTTTTTTTTTTTTTTTTTTTTTTTTTGGTTTTTTAGAGACAGGATTTCTCTGTAGCTTTGGAGGCTGTCTTGGACCTCTCTCAGGAGACCAATGAGGCTGGCCTCGAACTCACAGAGATCTGCCTGTCTCTGCCTCCTGAGTGTTGGGATTAAAGGTGTGCATAACCACAGCCAGGCTAACCCATACTTTTTAATCTATGTTCTTCCACGAGCTTGTTACCTCATCTCCATTTTGCCAATCCTGTTTCTTCTGCATCTGGCTGGCATTGGCTGGTGACTCCACCTTTCTTCTCCCCAGAGCTCTCTTTGTCCAGAAGTCCCGACTATTCTTCCTGCCTAGCTATTAGCTTTTTATTAAACCAATCACAGTGATACATCTTCACACAGTGTAAAGGGCCATTCCACAATAAATATGGGGTTTTAGGCAAGCTTGTAGGGCATTTTCTTAATTAGTGATTGATGTGGGAGGACTCTCAGTCCATCGTGGGTAGGGCCACCCCTGGGATGGTGGTCTGGGGTCTATAAGAAAACAGGCTAACAAGCCACGGGAAGCAAATAAGCAGTAAGCAGTACTCTTTCTTCCATGGCCTCTGCATCAGCTGTGACCTCCAAGTTCCTGCCTTGCTTGAGTTCCTATCTTCACTGTTTTTGATGATGAACTGTAATACAAAAGTATGAGTGAAATAAACCCTTTCCTCCTCAAGTTGCCTTTGGTCATGGTGTTTCATCAAAGCAATAGTAATCCTAAAATAAATTGTTACCAGGATCATGGGGGATTGCTGTGACAGACCTGATCATGTTGTTTTGGGAGGATTGTGGAAGGACTTTGGAACAATGGCTAGAAAAGCCACTGTTAAATAAACCTTAGTGAACTTTTCTATGGGAGCTTGGAAGATAAGAATGTTGAGAGCAGTGAAGGCAATGGAAGCCTGGTTTGTGAAGTTCCAGAGGGAAGTTTGATAGTCATTTAAAGACTCTATCAAGGCTGTTTGCTATTTTGAGTCGACAATCTGCAACTCTGGTTAGCTAGGGCAGAAGAAACAGCTGTGACTAACAAGAGACCAGAACCACTGAAGTAAAACCTTTGCTTTACTGGAGCAATTGATGCTGGTCAGCTGGAGCTAAGAAATTAGTGGTGATTAAGAAGAGACCAGCATCACTGAGGTGAAATCTTCTGGGAAGTGTTCCCTTAATCAATACACAGAAGCTGTGTTCCAGAGGCGGCCAAGGTTGACCTTTTACTGGCAGCTGAACTTGGTAATATGTAAGTCACTTAGGTGGGACTGGTTTTTAAGGCATGAAAGGGTCATGGAGAGCAGCTGAAGCTTGGCACTGTGAGAAGCCAGGAGAGGCCACTAGTGAAGGCGCAGCCCCAGTGGCAGTTAAAGGCCCTGGACTGAAGGGTTCATGCAGAGAAGTTGAGGTTTGGCACCATGAAGAAAACCCAGGAGAGGCTATTGGTGAAAAGTACAGCCCAGTTGCAGCACAAGACCCCAGCATATTGGAAATAGGCTAACTGCCAAGAACAGCAGCAGCCATGATGGAGTGGAGCCAGCCTGAGCCTAGAATACAAGCTGTGAGTATAGCAGAGGGCAGAGGCTGAGAAACGGCCCAGGCCCTTTGGAGGAGCCCAAAATATCATGAATGAATCCCTGATATTGGACACTGAATGAATTATACAGTGGGAGTTCGGTTTTGCTTTGATCTGTTTGTGACTGTGCCCTGGTTCGTCCCTCTTGACGTTAAGAAAGTATTTAACTTAATTTTGATTTCTGTAAGAACCCACCCTTGAGAGACTTTGAGGGGTTTTTTGTTTTTGTTTTGTTTGGGTTTTTTGGTTTTTCAAGACAGGGTTTGTCTGTGAAACTATCCTGGCTGTCCTGGAACTAGCTCTATAGACCAGGCTGGCCTCAAACTCACAGAAATCCACCTGCCTCTGCCTCCCTCCCAACTGCTAGGATCACAGGAATACACCACCACTGCCCAGCTGATAAGACTGAACATTCAAAGTGTTTGAATTTGTAAAAACTGTGGGACATTTAAAGTCATTTATGTTTTATTTTATAATATTAACATTATTGTGCCATCTTGAGGATAAATGAGAAAGAAAAGGTTCTGATAGAAAAGTGATGTTTGTGTGTCAAACTGACAAGGGGTCAGTTGTGCTGGCTAGTTTTATGTCAACTTGATACAAGCTAGAATCATCAGAGAGGAGGACCTTAGTTAAGTTCCCAGCACCTATGCTGGGCAGCTCTCTGGCCTCCTCAGGCATTTGCACTCACGTGCATATACCCACAGACAGACAGGCAGGCAGGCATAAGTATAATTAAAAAGAAAATAACAATCTTTTTCAAAAATAAAACAAATTTGGAAAACAAACACTTAACTAATGACATGAAAGACTGCAAAATTTGGCAAGCAGTGGTAGTGCACACCTTTTAATTTCAGCACTCTGGAGACAGAGGCAAGCAGATTTCTGTGAGTTCAAGGCCAGCCTGGTCTACAGAGCTAACTCTAGGAAAGCCAGCATGGTTACAAAGAGAAACTCTGTCTTTAAAAAAAAAAGAAAGAAAGAAAAGAAAAAAGACTGCAATATTTTAAGGTGCTTCTAACCTCCTTTTCCTCACCCTCTGCTCCTTATACTTGACAATGCCTTTCCAGCCCAGAATGTGTTCTTTGTTTGTGGGTCAGCCCTCCTGGCAGCCTGAGGAAGGACAGGGACAGGGATCTTGGCCTTCATGCTTACATAGGTTGATTCATTTTCTAAGCAAAGAATGAAAATTAGCCAAGCAAGGTAGCTTACTCTCTGAAGACAGAGGCAGAAGGATCTCTGCAAATTTGAGTACTGCCTGGTCTACAGATCAAGTTCCAGAAAAGCCAGAACTACATAGAGAGACCCTGTTTCAAATAAAATGAAAGAACAAAAATTAACTTTCTCCTTTCTTCCTCCCTCTCTCCCCAGTCTCTCTGTGTTTTAAGAGGTTTTTGATGTTTTAATTCAGTTGTATAATTGCTAGTTCACACTCTGTACCCAAAGGACAAACTCCTCATCTACTTCTGAGAATTCCTTCCATCCTGCCTGGCCTACACCATGACTAAGAACAGCTAAGTACCCACCTACAGGAGGTAGTTAGAACCCAAGGCTCGATGGGCATGGTAGTGTGCACCTTTAATCCCAGCACTCTGGAAGTAGAAGCACTTGAATCTCTAAATTCAAGGCCAACCTAGTCTACAAGGTGAGTTCCAGGGCAGCCAGGGCTACACAGAAACCCTGTCCTGAAGAACCCAAGGCTCATGTGAAGATGTGGCCCTGCACAGAAGCAGGGATTGGATCAGATGTGCTCCCAGGCCCATGGCCTTCCAGAAGCACAGCCTTCTGCTCAAGACTCGTGGACAGGAAAGGATGCATTTGGAGCCCTCCCCTGCTCCTCTGTCCAACTCACAAATTCACAACAGCACACTTGTCCTGAGAGGCATGCCGTCGCTACTGGAAACACTCCCATCAGTTCTCTAAGGCCACCCACAGGGAAGCAAAGGCCATCACAAACTGCCCATGGGCAGCTGCTGACTTACAGTAACCCCAAACATGCTCCTACAGTGGTTTCAAAAAACAGATCTCTCGATTTCTCTTTATAAAAGTCAAAAGACTGGAAAACCTGAGTCATTGCAGCCACAACCAGCTGGAACTAAGAAGTACTGCTACCTCCCTTGTTTATTTTACTAATCCATTCATTCATTCGAAGACAGCATCTCACTATATGCCCCAAACTGTATTTGAACTCAGATCCTATCTTAGCCCCTTAGTGCTGGAAAAACTGTGGCTGAAAGTGGCAGAATTCCTACATTTCTGTGTTTTAGATGTTTGTTTTAGAAACATTTTTGAAATGACTGAATCCCTAGACTTGAAATATACATCTGCAAATACATTTTCAACTAGATGTACTGTGAGGGACACATTTCATACCTGAAAAGAGGCACTATTTCCTTAATGTCCTTTAGTTTTTTAACTTCCTCATCTCGAGCAGGTGCACACAATGTCCCCATCATTCCAATAATGAATTCTGCCAGCTTGGAAATGTCTAGAGCCCCGTTCTCTGCTTCCTGTTTTATCAGTTCCAGATCCAAGACCTCAGTTATCTGGTCTCTTAGTCTGGTGTGACCAGGCAGCAAGAAAGACAGCAGAGTCTAAAAGAGAGCACAGCTAAGTTCAGTCAGTTTCTTAGGCGTCAGCCTTATTATGCATAAAAGAACTTACAACTTATAATTCAAAAGTAAAGGATTACCAACTTCGATTATGACACTACACACATTTTTAGCATCTTACTTAACAAATCTACAAACAAACATGCACATGAAGCATTTAGAATAGCTACCTAAGCCTCGTTCACATTCTAGCAATTGCCTAGGTGCAAGAAAAATCTGGGAGTTGGTTGGTTGGTTTGTGTTTGTTTTTTGAAGTAGGGTCTTGCTATGTCATCCAATCTGGCTATAAGCTAGAGACCCTTCTGTCTCAGTGTACCAAGTTCTAGAATCATGGGTATGTATTACCTTGTGTGGCTAAAAATGATTAATGATAAGCAAAGGAAAGGGCAGTTGCTATGGAAGCCTGTGAGGCAACAACTGATTCCCATTTTCCCAGATAACAATTCTTCAATATGAATGCTAAAGCCACTTCAGAAAAAGTTCCTCCACCTACAGCCTTCTCTATCCCAAGGCACAATCACTTTTTGGCCAACATAAATTGAATGTGTCCATACCTATTAAAAATTCATAAATACTCTATATTTCATAATATAAGTTTTGGTGCCTCTAAGTAATATGAATGTTTTCTTTGTTGTACAAAAGTAGTGCCTTCAGGTTATCATGGCTTGCTTGAAAAGTTTTTAAAGGGGCAGTGGTGCTAAGTCAAAAGTACTCAATCCAAATTCCTTCAAATAACTTAACTCTGTGGCCCTCAATCTCTTTAGAGTCTTCTGGCATAGTAACACAGGCTGGATGAACACCCCCTAAGCTCAATTCATTCTCTGTCTCACCTCTTTGATCTCTCCTACAAGTTTGATGGCATGGTCATATGTTGGGGGGTCTTCACTTAGCTGAACACTCAAGCAATCCCAGAATGCTTTATGTACAATCTCCTTTACTCTCTTCTCCAAGCTGATGACAAGGAAAAATAAAAAGACAAATAAATATGTACTATATAAGAGTATTTATATGATTTTAAATCACTTTCAAAGTCATAAGTACTCTGGCTATAGGGTAATAAATCTTCAAAACCATAGAACCAAGGAAAGCTGTCCCAGACATAATCTGACAACACACTCTACCTACTTTGCCCTTTAAGAATGGATTTCATATCACTTAGTAGGCAACATCAACCCAGTGACTAGCATATATAAAAATGCCATAAGCAGAGAAGACTAGAGGTGGATTTACTTCTCAGCACCCACATGGTGGCTCACAACCATCCATTTATAACTCCAGTTTCAGGATCCAGCACCCTCTTCTGACCTCTGTGGGAGCCAGGCATGCATGTGGTGTGCATACATAAATGCAGGAAACACCACCCATGTACATAAAATTTTAAATTTCTTAAAGACTGGAAACTGGAGTTGCTAATTTTATTTTCTCTGACCTCAGCAAGTTCCTATGATACATATATGTGAATACAGGTGCCCACAGAGGCCAGAGGCAATAGATCCCGCTGGAATGGAGTTACAGGTGGTTGTACAGTGGCCAGCATGGGTTCGTGGAATTGAACTCAAGTCCTGTTTCAAGAGCAGGAAGTACTCTTTTTTTTTTTTAATTTTTCTTTCTTTCTTTCTTTCTTTCTTTCTTTCTTTGTTAAAGATTTTATTTATTTATTATGTATACAGTCTTCTGCCTGCATGCCAGCAGAGGGCATCAGATCTCCTTCAAGGTGGTTGTGAGCCACCATGTGGTTGCTGGGAATTGAACGCAGGACCTCTGGAAGAACAGTCAGTGCTTTTAACTAGTGAGCCATCTCTCCAGCCCAGAAAGTACTCTTAATTACTGAGCCATCTCTCCAGCCTTCATCTTTTATTATTATTATCTTGTTTTGTTTTTGTTTTTTGAGAAAGGGACTCATATAGCCCTAGATGGCTTCTAACTTGCTACATAGTTGAGGATGACCTTGAAATGATCCTCCTGCCTCCACTTCCCAAGCCTTGGGATTACCGGCATGTGCCCCCTTATCTGGCTTCCTTGTCTTCATGTAGTTTAAAATCTGGCAAAAGATGCAAGTTAAATAACAACTACAGTATAATGACATAGTTGCAAGGAAATGAATGAAACAATGCACTGGGAAAAAAAATGAAATGACTAAATCCTAATGGGGGAAAGAAGGCATGAAGACTTCGACAGACTCCAGATCCTTTACTTGTACCCTGAAGCATCATGGCTTGTACCCAGAACTGGAAATGCTCAGTAAACAAGTTCAGACACGCACCTGCCTTCTGCTAATTCAACGGCTTTAATCCGGAAGTCTCCGTTAACTACAATTTCATGCGCTAGAGCCATGTTGGTGACTCCTTTCGCTGTTTCTAGAAGTTCCTCTACAGTGACAAGCCGAGCAGGACTAGCTGTAACAGAAACCCAGTGTAAGAAGTTTATTAAGCTAAGGCCTGCGATGGCAGCTGCAGTGATATCTGTACCCCAATATTTCAAACAATAGGCTTAGCTTTTCCTTTTTACCTAGAATCCTAAGAGTAACAAGCATTAATATAATACACGAAACATATGGCTCCTGCTATGACCACTCAATGGAAAGTAGTACGGTATATTGCGATTGAAAACTTAAATTACAGTTTTTCATTGTTCCAATAAGCTGAAGGTTTATGTTCTGCCTCTGCTAACCCCTGTCTTTCCAAAAAGGAAAACACAGATTTATAATCTTCTGGGTGTCAGTGAGATGACTCAATGGGTAAAGGGGCCTGCTACCAAGGCTGTTGAGTTGAGTTTCATCCCTGGAATCCACAGGGTACACAGACAGAACTGACTCCTGCATGTTGACCTCTGATGCCCACGTGTGTACTGTGGCATGTTTGAGTCCATGAACACACACATGCAAACACAAATATATTTTAAAAAGACCTTTTTTGCTTCCATAATGAACTTACTTTTGGCCGGCGTTGGTGGCACACGCCTTTAATCCCAGCACTCAGGAGGCAGAGGCAGGTGGATCTCTGTGAGTTCGAGGCCAGCCGGGTCTCCAGAGTGAGTGCCAGGATAGGCTCCAATGCTACACAGAGAACCCCTGCCTCAAAAAACCAAAAAAAAAAAAAAACTTACTTTTGCATTGACACTGATATTTCTCAAAATTAAAGTAGCATTAAGTCTTAAACAAGCTTAAAACCACTACCCTGGAATTCATTAAATGGCTCAGCAAGTAAAAGTGCTTGCTGCCAAGCCTGACAACCTGAGTTCAATCCCTGGGACCCATACAATGAGAGAACCAAGCCCACAACTAGTCTTCACACACACATTATACACAGACATACACAGACACACAGGGAGAGACACACACAATGTTAAAAAAAAATATTAAAAAGTGATCGCTTTGGCAGCACATATACTAAATTGGAATGATACAGAGAAGATTAGCATGGCTCCTGCACAAGGATGATATGCAAATTCATGAAACGTTGACTATTAGAGAAAAAGTTACCTTAAGCAGGGCATGGTAGTGCATGTCCTAGAATTCCAGAACCTGGTCTACAAAGGAAGTTCCAGGACTGCTGTAGAACAATCTTTGTATGCTGTAAATATGTATTACTGGCCTATAGCTGGATGGGTAGAGGTTAGGCAGGACTTACAGACAAAGAGAGAGCACAAAGAAGGGGAGAGGAGTCTCAAGAGTGGCAAGGAAATACAGATAGAAGCAAGATGAACTTGCTGTGTTGAAAAAAGGTACTGACATGTGGTAGAGCATAAATAAGAAATATGAGCTAATTAAAGCTGTAAGAGCTAGTTAGTAACAAGCCTAAGCTATCAGCTGGGCATCTATAATTAATATTCAGTCTCTGTGTGGTTATTTGGGAGCTGGTGAACAGTCCTAATGAAAAACTCTGCCTATGAATGATGCTCCAATGTGGGGCACCTACATCCATGTAAGACCTGAGAAAGTTTTAAAAAGGTTCTAAACACACAACAGCCGAATGTGGCTTCACAGTCTCCTGTCACTCATACTGGCTGCAGTACAGAGATGTGTCTCCCAGCAGCTGCCTGTGGGATGGAGCCAGAAGCCAACTGCCATGTGTTCATGCCATACACAAAACTGAGTGGTGCCAGCAGCTGACATAACAATTTAAGATTCATCTCATGCAATCAAAAAACAATACAGATGCTCAGAAAAGACAGATCCAGATGGAGAAAACTATAAACAGGTTACAGTGTGTTTTAAAATATATATAGGCTTGGGAAGGAAAAAAAAGAGAAAAAGTATATACAGTCACAGATTTTAAAATAGCATAAAATAATAAAGTCCTTTAAAAGGAGTAAAATAATAATAATAATAAATAATCCACATAAAGATGGGAAATACATAGAAACATTGAATTATGGAAACTGCTGGATTAAACCAACCTATATATTTTTAAAATATCTTGACTTCAAAATGGAAGTCAAAAGATGTGTTGTTTGGGGGAAGAGGTTATGCTTTTATTTCCACAGAAATGACAGACTATGGATTCATTCCAGGTTGATATGGACATCTTGAAATTTGCAGGCAAATAAATGGAACTAGAAAAAAATAACCCGAGTGAGGTAACACAGACCCAGAAAAACAAATATGCTATATACTCACTCATAAGTAGATATTAGATGTAAAGCAAAGGATAACCAGCTTATAGTCCATGACCCCAGAGAAGCTAGGTAACAAGGAGAACCCTAAGAGAGACATACATGGATCCTCCTGGAAAGGGGGAATAGACAAGAGCTCCTGAGAAAATGTCATCATTTGGGGGGGAGTGATAACAAGTGGTTATTGGTCATAGGAAAATAGCTAAACAAAGGAGTTTAAATTCAAAGATCTCTTTCTAAAGGAAAAAATGGGAATATAATATAAAAATGATGAGATAATAGGGTAACTATTGAATCTACTTTAATCCAAAAAGCAACAATTAATTTCAAAATAGTTTACATTGGTATGGATTTTGGTTACTAATAACAAATTTAAAGATATTTTTGCTAAACTATATGTATGTTTGGGGTATCGAGCTTATGCAGTTCATTTTAAAATGTAATGTATAATTAAGAAATACAGAGCTTGGTGTTGGTGGTGCACGCCTTTAATCCCAGCACTCAGGAGGCAGAGGCAGGCAGATCTCTGTGAGTTCGAGGCCAGCCTGGTCTCCAGAGCCAGTGCCAGGATAGGCTCCAAAGCTACACAGAGAAAAAAAAAAAAAAAAAAAAAAAAAAAAAAAAAAAAAAAAGAAAAAAGAAAAAAAAAGAAATACAGGTTAATAACTATAATAATCAAACTTTTAGTCATATTAGGTAGGTTCTCAAGGTTAAACAGATATATTTAGATAGACAGATGGTCTTCAAAGACTTACAGAATATGGCATTTAATATGCTTAGTAACCTAAGGCTTTTCACAACAGTGAGACACATCTGCTCCTTGCAGCACCAATCTACTTCAGAGAAGATGATGGGCATCGAAGAACCTCCATATGGAGTTTGCTTTCTTTATGGTAAAAGCTAGGAATTTGGGTAAAGAAATTGCCCTTGCTTCAATTGCTGGTAGTATGTTAGCCAAACTGGACCAGTAGGATGTAAAAAAAAAAAAAAGTGACTGCCAAATTTTGCCAAGACAAAGTAGAACAGTCCTTCAAATTTTCTTGCTTCTCAGAAGCAAGGTCAGATATACTGGACCTATAGGCCAAATATGGATGCCCCAATGTTGCAGAGGAACCTTGGGTGACTCTCCAGGCAGCCAGATGTCACTGTTGTCAGGTAACATTACACCCTTCTGGGGTCTTTGATGGAGTTTAAAAAAAAAACGAAATAATTAAAGTTTTCCTTAGTTATGATAAAAGGTAAATTAAGTATAAAACTTCAGACTCACAAAGATAAGATAAATAAGAGTCTTTTCTCTAATTTTGCCAAATACAAATGGACTAGATATTATAACTGTAATTTTTACTTGATAATTGTTTTGTTGTATATAATTTTACTATGTTAAAATTAAGACCTTCCTTTTTAAATAGACAAGAAGGGGGAAATGTTGTGGAACAATCTTTGTACATTGTGAATAAGTATTATTCTCATTGGTTAATAAAGAGCTGGCCTATAGCTGGGCAGGAAGAAATTGGGCAAGAGAGCCAGACTAGGAGGATGCTGGGAAGAAGAAGGGGGGAATTTTGAGGGTCCTGAGCAAGACACAGAGGAAGGAATAGATAAACATGCCACACTGAGATAAGGTATTGATCCACATGGTAGAACATAGGTACAAATATGGGTTAATTTAAGTTGTAAGAGCTAGTTAGTAGCAAGCCTAAGCTATCAGCCAAGCATTTATAATTAATATTAAGTCTCTGTGTGGATATTTGGGAGCAGGCCAGAGGTCCTGACAAAAAACTGCCTACACAGGACAGTCAGGACTATTACATAGAGAAACTCTGCCTATGAAAAAACAAACAACAAAAAAGAATATGGAAGGTATGTCACAAAAGAAAACACAAGTAAAGCCCTTGACAGAGCACATATCCATCTCCATAAGATCCCACAACTCAGTAACAGACAATTAACAAAAATTAGAAATGGGCAAGAGTTAAACACACACTTCTTCAAAGAAGATATACAAATGCCCAGAAAGAATATGGAAAGATGTTCATTGTCATTAGGGAAATGTAAATTAAACCCAGTGTGAGCTGTAACTACACATCTACTAGCTCTGGCCAGAAGCAGAAAGACTGAACATGCCAAATGTGCTGAACACTGGCACAAAGGCAGAGTGTCTGTACCTAAATGTGGAGTGGGATATGAAGTAACAGTCAATGTGGTTTCTCTCTCTCTCCATCCCTATCCCCCCTCTGTGTGTGTCTGGGTGTGTGCGCACATGTGCGCCCACGTTGGGACCAGAGGTCAATCCTGGATGTCATTCCCAGGAGCCATCCATCTTGTTTTTTGAGCCAGGTTCTGGAACTCAGAACTTACCAAGTATGTTAGGTGGCCAGCAAGCTCTGCAGACCTGGTTGTCTCTGACTCCTCTGGTCTGGAATTACAGATATGTGCCACCATACCTAGCTGTTTTATGTGGCTTACAGAATTCAAGCTCAGGTTCTTAAGCTTGGGCAAACACTTTACCAATGGATCTATCTCCTCAGGCCTCCTGGTGGTTTCTTATAAAGCAAAACATACACTAACCACATGTCCCAGAAAACCCACTCCTAATCCATTACCCAAGAAAACAGAAAGTAAGGTCATGAAAAGACTTGTACTCGTAGATTAATAATCTTATTCACAAAACCTTGACAAATCCAAATGAAAATCCTATTACTGAAAGATAGAGAAGTTGTAATCACCACAAATGGAAGGTTACTTGGCAATAAAAAGGAACCACTGTTAAATGCAAAACCACAAATTTCACAAGAACTGTCTATTGACAATGTCAGATATAAACAACCATATTTACTAGAATTCCATTTTAAAAAATATTTTAAAATTAATACATGTGCATTGTGTGTATATACGTGCAATCCACCACACATGAGTGGACAACAAGGTATGGGAGATGGTTCTCTCTTGCCATGGTGTGAGTCCCAAAGATCAAACTCAAGTCATGTGGTTCATCAGGGAGTTCCTTTACCCTGAGCCACCAAATCTGCCGTAAACTCCATTCATATAAAGTTACACAAACAGCAAGACTATACAGAAAGCAGATCAGTGATTACCAAGGGCTGTGACTGTGATGAACAGAGATTTGCTGCCAAGTGGCACAAAAAAATTATGGGAGGCGATGGCGAAATCCTAGCAACTCAAGATTGTGGCGCAGTTTTTGAGATCATCAGTCATGCTCTCTGTTGCAGATTCCATTGTAAAGCTCTAAGGCACTCAAGGATTTGAGATATATCCATGTGAGTGTGTATGTGTGTGTGTGTGTGTGTGTGTGTGTAAATACATACACACGTTTTTGTTTTTTGAGACAGGGTTTCTCTGTATAATAGCTCTGGTTGTACTGGAACTCACTTTGTAGCCAAGGCTGGCCTCAACTCACAGATATCCTCCTACCCCTGCCTCCTGAGTGCTGAAATTAAAGGTGTAGGCCACCACCACACAGCTAATTTTTTAAATCTTAAAAAAAGCAAACAATACTTTGGTATACATATAATTTCATCAATTTATTAAAGATCAAAGAAAATTTGCATACTAGACATTTTATATAATTAATTACATCTTGGCTGAATAGTTGGTATGTACATACAACATCTTTAGGTTTTTCAAAGTTGATCAACATTGTGACTTTGTAATTGTTCATACTGAGAACATTGCTTTATGTATGTACTAAAGATGGCAGAAGCACATTTAGGGTCCTTTATAAAACATTTTATATAATTATAAAATGTTTATAAAAACATTTTATATAATTAATTACATCTTGGCTGAATAGTTGGTATGTACATACAACATCTTTAGGTTTTTCAAAGTTGATCAACATTGTGACTTTGTAATTGTTCATACTGAGAACATTGCTTTATGTATGTACTAAAGATGGCAGAAGCACATTTAGGGTCCTTTAAGAAATTGCTAAAAATTTGTCCTAGTCCTAGCCAAAATTTCAATTACTTTTTAAATAATATTCAAACATCAGTTTTGTTTGTTTGTTTGTTGTTTGGTATTTCAAGACGGGGGTTTCTCTGTGCAGCCCTGGCTGTTCTGAAACTCACTTGTAGACCAGGCTGGCCTTGAACTCAGAGATCCGCTGGCCTCTGCTTTCCAAGTCCTGGGAGTAAAGGTGTGCACCACCACCACCACTCAGCTCAAACATAAATTTTAAAAATGATTTTTAAAAAATATTTTATTTATTTATTATGTATACAACATTCTGCTTCCATGTATATCTGCACACCAGAAGAGGGCACGAGATCTTATAATGGATGGTTGTGAGCCACCATGTGGTTGCTGGGAACGGAACTCAGGACCTCTGGAAGAGGAGTCGGTGCTCTTAACCTCAGCCATCTCTCCAGCCTGGATCTTTTTTGTTTGTTTGTTTGTTTTTTGTTTTTTCAAGAGAGGGTTTCTCTGTGGCTTTGGAGCCTGTCCTGGAACTAGCTCTTGTAGACCAGGCTGGTCTCAAACTCACAGAGATCCGCCTGCCTCTGCCTCCCCAGTGCTGGGTGGGTGTGCGCCACCACCGCCCGGCCAGCCTGGGTCTTTTTTAGCAGCTTCTGGCTCTCTGAAAACTTGCTCATAGGTGCTAGGAAAACACTTTTGTCTTAGACTTAAATACTAACTTCACTTTATTAGAGCCATGCTATCATGGACAGAATGTCAAAAACAAGTTTATCCTTCACAGAATAATTGAAAAGACAAACCCAAAACCCTTCTTTATTAGAAAGTACAGTTAATAAAAACCATGCCAGCAGTCATATCTTGTTAGTCAGTTTTCTGTTGCTGTAGGGAGTACTGGAGATAAATCAATTCATTAAGAGAAAAAGTTGTTGGAAGTGGTAGTTTACAGCTGTAATCCCAGCACTCAGAGGCTGAGGCAATTAGAATACATGAGTTTGAGGCCAACCTCAAAGTGAGTTCCAGGGAAGCCTATCTACAGAGTGAGACCTTGACTCAAATACATATACATACATACATGCATGCATACATATATACAAGCTGGGAGCTGGGCATGGTAGTACAAGTCTATAACCCAGCAGTTTGGAAATGGAGACAGGAAGATCAAGAGTTCAAGGTTATCCTTAGCTACACAGAGAATTTGAGCCCAGCCTGGGCTACATGAGGCTGGATCCCATAAGGTTTGGGGGTTGGCTTACAGTTTGGAAGTTCCAGACCCTGATCTAGTGGATCCATTCTTTTGGGTCTTCGATGAGCTGCACATAAAGGCAGGGGCCACATGACAAGAATGGACCAATCAACTTAGCCAAAAGTAAAAGGAGACTGAAGAAGTGGTCAGGTCCCAATAATCCCTAGAAGGGCAGTTCCCAGGGATCCTCCCTCCTAAAGTTTCTATCGACTCCTCATAATGCCACAGCTGGATCCCAGCTTTTAACAGATGGGCCTATGGAGGACATTTCAGTTCAAATTATAGCACACATTACAGCACTGAGTCTCGTCATTAGAAATGCAGCAGATAACATAATACTAGTAGTAGTGACAACCACTGATGTTTATTGACCATTTACTACTCCTAAGCACTATTCGTAACGCTTTACATGAATTTCTCTAATGTTTGTAACTACCTTAGGAGATAGAGTGCCTCTTGTGAAAGATGGGAAACCACCTCCCTACCTACACTTATGTATGAACAGTAACTCACACATGCATACCAGGTGTGCTTCTCTGGAAAGAACTTGTGCTGCTTTACCAGTGTATATGACCATAAACTAAGAAAATGGGCCCACTTGTAGGTATGGGCTATAAGAACACTGTTGACTGATTTATTATTCAGGAATGGCTTTAGTATTTTGGAAACATACCTCAAAACCCCAAGATCTTTGTCCTTCTTCCCAGTCTGCAGAACAACTATTCATTTACACTTTGATAGCATCAACACTGACATTCTTAGACTATGACACTCCCTTTTAAGACCTGCATTTTTGGATTCGCTTCAAAAAGTTTACATGTTCTTAAGAAAAGACATGAGCTGGGCAACTGTTGGCTACACAGGCAGAGACTGCTGGGACCTAAAATGATTTCCTCACTCAGCAAACTGAATCCACTTGCTTGTTCTGCCTGTGGGGACCAAGCCCTGGGGAAATGAATTTAGGGTGTGGTGAAGCACTTGTTTTCTTTTTTTAACCTGAATAACCCCAGTCCTGGTTCAAAGGCACCTCAGACTTCTCATTCTTTTAACTAAAGCTATAGTTTCGCTCTACCCACCCGTTTCTCATGCTACTTCAGACACAGTGGAATGCCACTGAGGCTGGGGAGAGACAGGAACATTCTGATAGCATTCTAAAAATTTTAACTTCTCATGCAATTATAAACCCACAGGGAGCTAGACTGCCAGTTGGGAAACGGCTGCTATTGTCAATAGCTACTCATTGGCAATCTTGTGATACTATGAGAACTCAGTTCACAGCCACAGGCACAAGGAAGCCATTTGAAAACAACAATCAGTGCTTTTAATCAAAGACAAGTTTGCTTACAGTGAGGTCTTCCCACTCTTTGGGGACTAGGTGAGTCTGACTTTATTTTTTTCTGTAAAGCTTCATCAGAACATTCCAGAGCACCTTCCAGGCCTTGCTCAGAGTCACTGGGCTTTGACTCTCCTGCTTCGTTTATATGGGACTTGTCAAGGTTTTCAGACATCCTCAGTGCTGTCTATTCACTTTCCTAGGAAAGAAAGACAATGAATGAGTCAAACATGTCACTGACTGACCGAGCAAACCCTTAGTCTCTGAGTTTCAGTTTTCTCAACAGGCTTTGGAAAATTTTATCCATTTATACTCTACCTCAGTGATCAAAGACACCTAACCAAGGACACCTGTGAGTCTTCCAGAATAGCTGGAACATTTGTATCCCACTCCTGAATAACAAGTGGGGGAGGGGGCTTAAACCACATGCTTCTGCTTCAAAGGGAGTGGTGACTCTGTCTTAAGTCTGTATTTAGAGACAGTGTTTCTCTGTTGACCCTGAGCTCTCTATGTCACCCAGGCTGGCCTTGAACTCATGACCTTCCTGCCCCCAATTCATAAATGCTAAAACTACAGATGTGTACCACCACCCACACCTGAAACTAACATTCTTTCATGGCTGGGAGCTTATAGAAAAAAATCTTTGAAAGCTGGACATGGTTACACACTCTTGTAAACCTAGCACTTGGGAGGACAGAGCAACTTCAGGGCCAGGGTCACTTAAGTAAAAACAAACAACACCAAAATGCAACTCATTGGAAACAACACTTCTAGCCACCTTCCAATGCTGTGCTGAGGGGATGGATGGCTTCTAGTCCTATTGTGTGTATAAAAATACCTGGGAATGGGGGTTTGGGAGATGGCTTGTTAGGTAAGATGCTTTGCTATAAAAGCTTGTGGACCTGAATTCAGATCCCTTGTACCACTGAAGCCAGGCATGGAATCACGCCTACAAGATGCTCAAAGTTTATCTCTCTGGCTTCCATGCATATGCACAGGTGAGCACACATATACAACCCTTCCCCTAAATTCTAAAAAAAGTAAATGGGAGAGGCAGGCGGATCTCTGAGAGTTTGAAGCCAGCCTGATCTACATAGTGAGAGATCCAGGATAGCCCAAGCTACATAGTGAGACCCTGTCTCAAAAAACAAATTAGTAAGTAAATGGGGGTGACAAATAGTACTTGTATAGACTCTATAAAATGTTTAAGAGAAATATGTTTGTTTTTCGAGACAGGGTTTCTGTATAGCCCTGGCTGTCATGGAACTAACTCTAAACCAGGCTAGCTTTAAAGTTAAAGACCCACCTGCCTCTGCCTCCCAAATGCTGGGATTAAAGATGTTCACCCAGCATATATTTTTAATAGTTGCTAGTCAACAGGAAAAACATATGAATAAAATAGGAAGTAGCAAGCAATCATAATGAATGTGACTGGATTTTCACTGTATTAGCTGCTGATAAGAATGGGGATATTACCTGACACACTATTCTGGACCAGCTAATAAGGGCGTTTTTCAAAAGATTTATTTATTTTATTTATATGAGTGTTTTTGCCTGCATATATGCCTGTACACTGCATGTGTGCCTGGTGCCAAAGTTGGTTAGAAGAAGGAAGAAAATGGGTACCCTGAAACTAGAGTTACAGATGGTTGTAAGACAACATGTGGGTGCTTATTTTCAACACCCTGAAACTAGAGTTACAGATGGTTGTAAGACAACATGTGGGTGCTTAGAATCAAACCTTCAACATCTGGAAGAGCAGCCAGTGCTCCTAACTGCTGAGCCAGTTCTCCAGCCCAAGATCTGTTTGTTTGTTTATTTATTTATTGGTTTTTCCAGACAGGGTTTCATTGTGTAGTCCTGGCTGTCCTGGAACTCCTTCTGTTTACCAGGCTGGCCTCGAACTCACAGAGAAACGCCTGCCTCTGCCTTTGCCTCCCACGTGTTGGGCTTAAAGGCATGCACCACCACCCCTGGGTTTGTTGCTATGTTTCTTGATGTAGAATATGATGTGACCAGCTGTCTCACGCTCCAGCTGCAGTGACTTCCTCTAAATGACAGACTATAGACCTGGACTGTGAGCCAAAATAAGTTCTTAAGTAACTTTTGTCATTTATTTGTTTGTTTAATTTTTTTTTTCTTAGAAACGGTTTCTCTGTGTAACAGTCCTGGCTGTCCTGTAACTGGCTTTGTAGACCAGGCTGTCCTGGAACTCAAGAGATACACCCTGGGCAGGGGCCACCACTACCCAGCTTGTTTATTTATTTTGGAGGCAGGGTCTCACAACTCTGGCTTGCCTGAAACTCTATGCCAAGAACAAGCTGGTCACCACCTCATAGAGATCCACCTGCCTCTGCCTCTTAAGGGCTGGGATTAAGGGGCACCATAATGCCAAGCTGCATTTCACCTTTCTAATCCAGTGCCTCACCCCCAGCCCCTGGAGACAGGGTCTTTCTATGTAGCTCTGGCCACATAGAAAGTTACTAAGTTAACCAGTTTGGTTCTGAACTCATTGATCTCTGAATTCTGGGATAAAGGCATGTGCTACCACACCCGGCCCAACTTTCCTTCCAAAACCCATCTCTTCACTGTCCTAAATCCTCCTAGAGTTTGGAAATGCAACAGACCCAATGTACAACATCACCCATAGATTCCATAAGAAAGAAAAACACACCTGACTTTATCCTCTTCACATACCGATGGAGCCATTCAGTGGGTGCAGAAAGGGGGAAAGCAAGACTCCTTTAAACTCAGTAGACTGCCCCCAAAATCCTGCAGCTTCTGTCTCCTCCCCGGGAGGAGATGAATGTTTACACTTTTCTCCAAAGTCCCGCAGGGCTGATTGCTAGACAGTTGGCGTTCATTTGACTGAAATTCCAGTCAAAATACGATTATTTAAATAGGGATAGAAAGATGAACACAGTCTAGTCAGAGAGACAGACATGCTTGCAGGCAGCCACAACGAAACACAAAGTAGCATGACTTTGCTATTCTAAATAGCAGGAGGAAACCTTCCCAGAAAAGATGACACGTGACCTATCTTTGAAAGGAGTAGAATTTCACCCAGTTTTAAAGTGGGGGTGGGGTAGAAAGGGGGTTACTTCATTCCTCTGGCAAAAAAGCATGGCACGTGAAATGGAAATGTGACAGGTAGTGAAGATGGGAAAGAGGAGTTGGCGGTCAGACAGGGAAAGTGCTAATTTGTACTTAAAAAATAAAATGAAACTCTTCGCCTAGATTTTGAACTTCTCAAGAGCCAAAACCAACAGTATTCTCCACAAATACTCGGCACCACTCCCATCCCAGGCAAACGGATATCCATCTGTTGATAGAGACATAAATCCCTGTGTCATCTGTGTGATGTCACTGTTTGGGAGAGGTTGTCCAAGGTGTTTAGAGTAGCACTGGACCTGTGGTTTGAAACTGACAAACACCCTTAGCAAAAGTGATCAATTTTTCTTAAAATATCCCATTCCCTGTCACTACTGAGATCCGATTCTGGCTCTTTAAAGAGGCTGTGTGACTTCAGTTTTCTACGAAGTTGCGTACCTCTTCATTTAACGGATAAGACTACATACACAGAGAACACAGGCTGGCACACAACAACCATTCCATAACTGGCAACTATAATTAATGAGCAGTGGGGTGCATCCGGGGGCTATTTAATTGCTCTCATTCATTCACTCAACAATCATAAAATCCTACTGGCACCTAACCAGGAAACCGAGGGGAGGAGGATCCTGGCACGGGGACCCACATCTGTCAGGGATGCGCGCGGGCCCAAGCTGAACACAAAAGAATCCTCCCGAAAGGGTCTTTCAGTGAAAGAACCATCTCTGGCCACCGGCGGGGAAGCCGCGTCCAGATTCCGTTGTAAACAGCTGTTTAGGCGGGCGAGGGAGCGGCAGAGGCGCTCCGGGCGTGCGGCCTGGAGGGTGGGCCTCCAGCCGCCCCTGTCTCCTCTTTGCCTCTACCCGGCAACCCCGGGACCCGACCGGCCCGGAGAAGTCAAGCAACGCCGG